TGGCAAGTTCCGGATGCAAGTTTCGAAAGCTTCAGCGTACAGGTGCCCGACAGTGGTCAGTTACAAGCTTCGGTGTGCAGTTCGCCAGCTGCGAGTACTGCTTTACTCAGGTTTTACAAAACTGCGGTGTGCTGTGCAAGGAACCAGAGGCTCGGTGTACTACTTGGCTCGAGTTTTACACAACTGCGGTGTGCCGTGGGTGCAGTGAACCAGTTTCTGACAGCTTCGGTGCACGGGTGCTCAACAGCGGCCAGTGGCAAGTTCCGGGTGCAAGCTTCGAAAGCTTTAGCGTACAGGTGCCCGACAGTGGTCAGTTACAAGCTTCGGTGTGCAGTCTGCCAGCTGCGAGTACTATTTTACTCGAGTTTTCTCAAAACTGCGGCGTGCTGTGCAAGGAACCAGAGGCTCAGCTTGCGAGGACAAGCTGTCCCCTCAAACATAGGTGTACAGTTAAGCCTAGCACTGCATCAGCTTGGGTCGAGGTCATGCTTAACCCTCCTGGTGTTGACTGGCGAATCGTTAATTATGTGCATGACGGGTACGAAGAACCTGCTTGGCCACCTTGATCAGGCGGAGAAGGGCCAAAGTCCCATTCCCGAAAAACTCCCTCAAGCGTTCGAAGGTCTCCCCCAAGTTAGCTTCTGCCAAGACCAGGTGCTCCTGAGCAAGTGACACGATGGAAGGCATTCAGCACTTCAAGGATTTCAGATCTGTAATCCAGAAAAGGATCGGTCTTCAGGGGCAAGACTCGGAAATCAGCTGGCACAGACCTCGAGCTGAGGTACAACTATTTTCGCAGGTTCCAACACTCAAAAAGTGAGCCGACCGACCTGGCCAATTTCAAGAAGCCGTCCAGCCTGGTGCCATTCTTCTTGCAAATGGACACCGCCTTCAGCAACAGCAGGCTTAAGCGGCTGACATCAGAATGATCAGCGTCTTGCTTGCAGTTTAGGTGCTCGCCAGAAGGCAGCTACCACAGCAAGAAGGCCGAACAGTTGCCAGGTCTGCTTGGCAGGGATATCCGTCGCGGTTGGAAAGGCGACAGGGATGTTGAATCCTTTCGGCCATGTCTCCTTGGCTACCCTTGCTGAGGCTGGGCTTTGCAAAATGAGATGTGTGCCGCTGTGCTAGAACACACAAACGGCAAATGCATGTGATCATCACCCAGCGTCCGGTGCCACCAACTGTCCTTCGCTGTTTCTGAACATGGAATCCATCACACGGTCCACCTTGTCAAGCGTCAGGTCCTCTGGCCTCAAGGGCAAGTAATCAAGTAATGTGGCACCCTTTTTAATGATGGGGGGTCCCCCCCCCTCCCCCCCTGAAAAATTACCATTCCTCTTTAACACGGCGGCCTCCCCTAAAT